AGGGAAAGAACAAACACACATCATTTAGACGATGTATGGAGTAGAGAAGGCCTGCCTGGGTACACATGAAAATATTGGTGGTTTAAACAGCAAAGCAAGCCAAAATGTTAAAGAAACCAGCAGTGCGAACTGTGGGTATTCTGCTCTTCTTTCATGTATCTACTTGCATGCACAGCCCAAATGCCTTACGGCTATTATTATACTTTCATTTAACTCCTTTGTCAGACATGAGGATTTTGGGACTTGTCCACCTGAGAACACACGCTGCTGCTGGGCGTTGCTGCTAATCTGACAAATCAGTGCTTCAGATGGTTCCTTCCTAAATATGGTTATAGGGTCCAGTTCCCTCTAAGCAAACACAGCAACTAGACACCAGGATACATAATCCTATTACACACACGGTCTCATATGGGCTCCAGTTCAATTGTTAAGGCTAACAGCCGCACCAATGGAGCGTCACTGATTTCTCTGTATGATGTTGTCTGGGTAGGCTGAGCCGCAACCAGGGCCATAACAGTTTAAAGCTAACGTGCTACAATTTATACTCAACTGTTAAAATAAAGCTGACAAAAAGCCTGTATATTTGTGGCTGTACAATATGTAAGAGGTGCTGTGACAAAGTTTCGCAATGATGCAGGAAAACAGCAGCTGAGCCTGACACAGGGCAACACTGCCGTTTGTCCAACTAAAATGAAATGGCATCTATCTACCTCTTGCTAGCTACCCAGATCTGCATCAGCTTCAGTGATTTAAAAAAAAAAGGTCAATTTACCTAAACAACATTCCTCTGACCTTCACTGTATTGACAAATAGCTTGTTTTGCCTAGCAAACTGTTCAAAAGCCAAACATGTCATTTACAGTAAGAGTTGAAATGATTAACTGGTGATTAAAAACCATTTCCAAATCATTTTCTGTGAAATAATTAGTGAATAGACTAATTGCTTCAGCTCTGATGGTGTCTGACAGAAGTTGCATAATCTCACCTTTCATCTTGCAGCTCATAGTCATTGATGATGATCTTAATTACATTAAACCGTATAATATTCACTGTGAATATCTGCAATAATCAGTGTGCCAAAGTCTCCCATCAAACTCCTATAAGGTAATTTTATGACTGCTTGATGTCATTGTATTACAAGTAAAACAGTCTAACACCACTGGTATTTATGTTGATCAGAAGAAAATTAATCATTAAAATTTAATTGATCAAATTAGCACTTGTATATTTGCTGGCTTATTCTGTGTCATGTTACTGTAATATGAACATCAAGCAAAAGACAGAACACTAAGTAAGCATTTAAAGGCATAATTGTGGCAGTGATAACATGTCATGTATATTACAAATTTATAGACTGAATTGCTAAGAAAATAACTTGCGGATTAATTAATATTAATAATAATAACTGCAAATAGCCATTTCCTGCAGCCCCAAACACAGAGCTTTAATGTTTGTATTTAAAGCATGCCCTTTGCTTATAGATTTAACACACTTTACACTGTACAGTTTTGTGCATCAGTACAGACACAATGAATTTTATAACTCGGACATGTTGTTGCACTTTGTGCTGTAGCTGTAAAAGTGTCTGCAAAAGGCTCTTCCTAGATTGAGCAACTCATTTCAGTGTGCAATTACAGGAATGTGATTTGTCTGGACAGATTTTCTGGAGAAATGCAGCCCCTTGTTGAGCTTCTCAAAGAGAGGGTTGTGTGTACACACATGTATATTATTGGTAAAGCACTGCATGTGTGTGTTTTTATCTTGAGTACTGCTGCTGCCCAAACATGTTCAGACACATCCCTCTACACTTGTGCCCCAAGCAACAGAGGCAAACTAGTAAGTAGCACATCTTAAATA